AGGATGTTTATTGCTTTGATTCTAGTCGAGCTACTTTGTAATTAGACACAGATGTCTTCAACGCTGCAGGTTTTTACATCGGATATGGTGGGCAGCTTTTACAGAATTACGACTGCCTGACTGAGAGCTACAAAATGGTAAATTCCTACCCACCAGCTCCAGGAGGGAACGGCAAGTGGCATCAGAGTGTTGGGCTGTCCCAGACTGGCCTGAACAATTGTGTCCTTAAACTCCTGAATGCCTGGTATGAAACATACACTATGAAAGTATTGGTTAAGGAAAACAAAATCAAACTTGAAAAAGTGCTCTATATAGGCTAACTCTTTTGTTTTCCCTCCAAAATTTATATGTTAAAACCTAATCCCCAAGGCGATGACATTTGGAGATGGGGCCTTTGGGTCGCAGGCGGAGCCCTTGTGAACGGAATTAGTGTTCTTAGAAAAACAGACCCCAAGATCTCCCTCACCTCGCTCCTTCCGAGTGGTAAGGATGCAGCAAAAACAAAGCAGTTTATGAACCAGGAAGTGGGCTCACCAGACACCTGAATCTGCTGGCATCTTGATCTTGGACTTCACCGTCTCCAAACCGTGAGAAATAAATTTGTGTGGTTTATAAACCGCCCGGTCTATGTTATTTTGTTAGAGCGGCCCCAATGAACTAAGGTAGAAAGCAAGGTGCAATCCTTGATTCTACACCTTACCTAACGCTGATCAGATGAAGTCCATGGGCAATTTTATTTTGTCCACACTATTCATCCATTCAACTGAGTTGTATCAAACTCTTACTATGTGCCAGGCACCAGGAGGACAGCTATGAATTAAACAAATTAAATTAAACAAATACTCGCTCTCACGAATCTCACATCTTAGTGGTGGGGGAGACAAAAAAAAAAAAAGAAACAAATAGACAAACATTCTTCAGAGTAATAAATACCACGAGAAAAGAAAACAATGTAACATATTAGAGATTGACCAGGGTGATGGGTATGGTAGGCAGAAGGATGGTCCCCCTAAAATCTCTGGAGTCTGTGAATATGTCACCTTACACGGCAAAAGGCAGTTTGCAGATGGGATCGAGTTAAGGACTTGAGAGAGGAGGTCATCCTAGATCATCCATGTGGCCTAATGTCATTACAGGGTCCTCCCACGAGGGGGCAGGAGGGTCGGAGGCAAAGAGACTGGAAGACACTGCGCTGCTGGCTCTGAGGGTGGGGGAAGGGCCCCTGAGCGGAGGGATGCAGTGGCCTCTAGATGCTGGAAAAGGCGGGAGACGGGTTGTCCCCTTGAACCCCCAGGAGGGACCAGCTCTGCCACACCTTGATTTTAGACCCATGTTGGTCTTCTAGTGGCTCCCTGTTGCTTTCAGGTTAAAATAATAAATAAAAAAAAAAAGCAAATCTTAACATGGCATATTAGAAGTCCTGCACCTTCTAGAGTTGATTCTTGAACCATGCAGGGATTATGGGTACCGACCCCCACACAGTTAGAAATCTGCATATAACAATTTAATTTAATTTATTTATTTGTTTTGAGTCAGAGTCTTGCTCTGTCACCCAGGGTAGAGTGGCATCGTTGTAGCTCACAGCAACCTCAAACTTCTGTGCTCGAGCGATCCTCCTGCCTCAGCTTCCTGGGTAGCTGGGACTATAGGTGCTTGCGAGGAAGCCCAGCTAATTTTTTCTAATTTTAGTAGAGACGGGTCTTGCTCTTGCGCAGGCTGGTGTTGAACTCCTGAGCTCAAGCAATCCTCCCACTTCGGCCTCCCAGAGTGCTAGGATTACAGACATGAGCCACTGCACCCAGTCTTTTATTTAATTTTTTTTCTATTTTTGCAGCTGCTAGAATGGGATGCATACAGCTTTTGACTCTCCCAAAACTTAACTACTAATAGCCTACTGTCGACTGCAATCCTTACCAAGAACGTAAGCAATCAATCAACACGTTTTGTATGTTGTGTGTATTATATACTGTATTCTTAACAGTAAAGTTAGCTAGAGAAAAGAAAACATTATTAAGAAAATCATAAGGAAGAGAAAATACATTCACAGTCCTGCATTTATCAATATCACAAGTTTATGTCGCCTGTTTACCAAACGAATCAGAAGTCTGAAATGCACGATTGCAGCTACAGACCTCAATCTACAGTACGTATCAAGCAATTCAACTTTTTCTTGTAATGTCATGATTTTTCTCTGCTTCTTGGGAGCACTTCCAACATCACTAGCGACAGTCCCATATAGGTCCCGTGGTGTTATTCAGGGTTTACGGTATTGCACAAAACAGGATGAAAAATACACGAGAACCACAGGAGATTACTTTTTTTACCGCAATATGCAATTTCCTAGAGAGACAAACTGCTCACGGGGAGACGATGAGGGTCACGTGGCATTTCAAGCAGGTACTGCCAACATTTGAGCTCACCACAATAGCAACAGTAGGTGGCTACAAAATTATTATAGTAGTCCGTATAAACTACAGTTAATTTCATGCAGTTATGATTTAATACGGCATCTTTATGTTTGTTCACATTTCTCTTGATTAGGAATGGCATTATGTATTTTTTCTTTCCAAAGGAAAAATTTTGTAATGAATATTTTATAATACCTTTATAAATACCTTTATAAATAGAGGCACATTTTTTGGCTACAATTTCCCATTTTCCCTATGTATGGCCACTTTTGGGACACTTTGTAGATCTGTGTATGTTGTATGGTAGCAAATGATACACTAGACTAGTATCTACATATATTTTAGGCATTCATGACATACCTAAGATTTTCTTAATTTTTTTCTCTATTTCTAGGCTACGTGGCTCATCTTTGGGTTTTTTAAAATTGTCGCAAACCTCCAAAATCTTTTGCAATATATTTATTGAAAAAATCTGCATATAAATGGACCTGCATGCTTCACACCTGTGTTGTTCAAGGGTCAATTATATTTCTTGCCCACAGCTCCAGTTTCTTCTCTTACCTTGCTACGGCTACAGTGCATGGTTCAGTTGCAAGAATGCAAGCCCAGTGTCCTCTGGGCCTTTGCACATGCTGTTCCCTCTACCTGAAACACTTTCAGGAGGCTTCCCTTGACTAGCTTCTCCTCTTGTTTAGATTTCAGGGCAAAATCACCTCCTCAGCCAATCTTTCCCTATCCACACCCAACCCTCCCAACTCTTAACACACGATTATCGCATGGCTTTCTCTCCCACAAACTTGTGAGCTCTACAAGGAAATGGATTACGCTCGATTTGCTTACTGCAAATCCCTTATTACTGATGGCTTATTGATTCTTCCATTCATCAAATATTTAGTAACCAACAGATATGTCAAGCACCGGGTTTAAACAGTGAACAAGACTAAAGAGATTTCTGCCTCCTGGGGAGGGCAGAAGATACACAAAATAATAAATAAGAATTTCTGGTATAGAGATAGGCATGTTACGAAAAAAGATGGCCAAGTGTGGTGGCCCCAGCCTGCATGGGAGGCTGAGGTGGGAGGATCGCTTGAGGCCAGGAGTTCCAGACCAGCCTGGGCAACATAGTGAGACCCTGTCTCTGCAAACTATTTTAAAAATTAGCCAGGCATGGTGGCACATACCTGTAGTCCCAGCTACTCGGGAGGCTGAGGCAGGAGGATCCTTTGAGCCCAGGCATTGGGGCTGCAGTGAGATATGATGACGCCACTGCACTCCAGCCTGGGTGACAGACGAAGACGCTGTCATTCATAAATAAATAAATAGAGAAAGAAAATTACAGGGGAAGGGAACAAGGAATTGGGGGAGGATTTGCGAAGTGTGGCCGGGGAAGGCTCATAGGCACCGAGAGGTGAAGCCAGGCTCAAGTGTTACATACAGGCAGGGGGAACAGCAAGAATAGGTTCTTGCGTGTTGGAGAACAGTGGGCCCAGCTCCGGGCAAACTTATTTAATAAATAGAGGAAGAATGAATGCCTTGGGCTAGGGCTGTGCTGGGTGCTTTCCCAAATTTTATGTCCTGCTCACTTTCCCAAATCTGCCATGCAGGTATCCTGAAACCCATTCTATAGGCGAGGCAGACCCAGAGAGATAGTAAAGCCACCGGTCCAAGACCACACAGGAAGTGAGGGGTGCTGACTTTCCTGCACTGAAGGCGCCCCCCCCCCCCGCCTCCCCTACAGTAAGGGGAGGTTGCCCGTTGTCATGCGGTGTTCGTGAACGACATTGCCAGACATTCAAACACATAGGGACTGGTCTGCGCATTGAAAATCGGGTGTGGCCACCTGCGCCCTAGCCAAGGTTTCTAGCGCCTGGTTTGCTCTTTTAGGATTTTCGGCACAAATCCCCAGATGTCATTTCTCCACCTAGAAGCACAGGCCGAGCCGAGGGGCCCTCCTGGCCAGCCGCAGCGCGCGGGCACGTGGCGGTCCCCAGGGGCCCGGTGTGGGTCACGCCGCTGGGCGGCGGCGCTGGCGGGGCGGGACCTCTGGGGCGCCCGCGAGCTCTAGGACGAGTGTCGCTGGCTGGGCCCCGACTAGGGTGAGGCAAGTGAGGCACTAACTCGCTCGGGCTGCAGAATTTAAGGGAGTGCCAAAAAAACCGATTCACCGAGATCAATAATATTTTAATGCAATATTTAAAATAAATAAAAATGAATCCCACCCCCTCCCCGGCCCCCAAAGCCTGTGATGAACAAAATAGCAAAATGGTAGAGAAAGACAGGATCTGTCTCGCAGCGGCGGGCACGCGGGGCGACCCCAGGGTCTGAGGCTGGCGCTTGGGGCGGGAGGGCATCTGGGGCGCCCCCTCGGTCAGGGCGCGCACGGGGGCCCCCAGCGCGGGGCCGGCTCCGGGAGGCGGGCGGGGCGGGGCCGGGTGGCACCTCCCTCTGCCCGTTTTTCCCTCCCTCTCCCGGGCCTCTCCCGGGTGCCGAGTCCCTTCCGAGGCTAGATCCGCGCCACCTTTTTCTGCGACCCGCCCGGGGCCCAGCTGACGGGCCGCGTTGTTTACGGGCCCGAGCAGCCCTGGCTCCCGCCGCCCGCCCGCCACCCGCCACCCGCCAGCCCAGGTGCCCGCCCGCCCGTCAGCGCGTCCGTCCGCGCGCGCGTCCCTCTGTCCGGGAGTCCGCAGATCGCGCCCCAGAGCGCGCACCGCCGAGAGCTGGGAGGCCAGGGCGCAGCGCGGAGCTCCGGCTCCTGAGATCGCCGGACGGGGCCCGGGCCGCGGTGGCCAGGGGTCGGGGCCACCACCGCCCGGCCTAGGCTCCGTATCTGCAGCGGCAGAGGCCGCGCGCCCTTCGCGGGGCTGTCTCCAGGGTCCTCCCGGGCGGGGGCTGCAGCCGGCGGGCCGCGGGCGTGGAAGAGAAGGACGCGCGGCCCCCAGCGCCTCTCGGGTGGCCGCCTCGGAGCATGACCCCCGCGGGCGGGCGCCGCGCGCTCTGATCCGCGGGGACCCCGCGCTCCCACAGCCATGCGCGCCGGGGGCCGGTGGGGGGCGGCGGCCGCGCCGCTGCTGGTGGCCGTGGCCGCGCTGCTGGTGGGCGCCGCGGGCCACCTGTACCCCGGAGAGGGTGAGTCTGGGGGCGCGGGAGCGAGCGGGGAGCACCGATGTGGGGAGGGGACCCCTCCGCCAACATGGAGCCCTCCCGGGGGAGGGGGGGCGGTGGCCGGGACAGTTGCTTGGGCCCCGCGGGGGCCGGGAAGCCGCTGACCTTGGCCTTTGCCCGCCCGGCCTCGCGGCTCCGCGCCGTGTGTGCCGGATCCGAGCCCGAGGAACCTTGCCCCAGTGGCCGCCCCGCCTCGGGCGCCTCTCCCGGCTTTGCCTGCGACCCGTGCCGGGCCCCCTCCAAGCCCAGCTCACCCCGGAGACGCGACACGCGTCCTCTCTGGGTCGCCTCGGGGAAGTGAGGTCACTGGGTCCGGACAGCCAAGCGTCCGAGCGCGTACCGTTTGGAGCCAAAGCCCCGAGTGCCCCAGTCGTGGGTGCCGCTGCCCGGGGTGGGGAACCGTGGAAACCCCTCTACCCTGCTTCCTTGGATCTAGGCCCGTGGCCACCCAGGGCTCTAGGTCCATGGTTACCGCTTCGTGGCTCTGTTTCCAGACGTCCGGAGGCAAACCCTAAAGCCTTGGCAACAGCAGCAATCGTAGTGGCAGTGTTTAAAATCATGATAGTTGTAGTTAGCATCACCCATATGCCACAGGCTGGTCCATCTTACCTCTTTGGATGGTCATAGTGGCCACTGCAAGCTGATACTGTGGCGCACCCATTTCACAGAGGAATAAACTGAGGCACAGGCAGGACACATAACTCACTTGCCCTAAAGTCAGTGCCGGAGTGAGGACTTGAACCTCTCTGTGCTAGTTCCACCCAAGGCTCTAGACGGCTGCCTCTTGTTTCAGTCTCCCTGGACCCTTCCCGCCCCTCAGCTCTGCCCTTCATGAAGGAGTCTCTGATCTTTGAGTGACCCATTGACCCCATGGGTGCTTCTCCTTGGTGTCCCTGTGCGAATAGCATCTTCCTTGCGCTTGACAGCTGGCATCTTTCTGGTTGGGAGGTGAAGATAGAAGCATCGCTTGAGAGAACATTGCTTGAGTTTCCTACCATGGGGTCTGAGGGTCTGCTTAAAAAATATCCATTAGGCTACTGCTTCCGATTTTTCCATAAAAGGAAATCGATGGTGAGGAGGAGGGGGTCAAGGAGGGAAGAAATTGAAGTTCCTAAATTTGCGGATGGAGGAGGTGCATGAGAAGGCAGAGTCTCTGGAGTGGATCCAGGGCTTGGTGGAGTGGCTCTGTCAATTACACCATGTCTAGAAGTCTCCCTGGGTGCCTGGTATACAGTAGGTGCTCAGTGAAGGGTGGCCGTTAGTTTGGGTTCTTGTTAAGAAAATCCAGGACGAGTTATTTAGACGTATGCGGGGGTTTGTGTATGCGTGTGTGTCTGTGTGTGCGCGCGCGCGCATGGTTTTTCCCTCTTCTGTTCCTTGTAGCTTTGGAATTGTGGATGAGAGTCTGGGCTTTTGGGGTCAGCAAATGGATTTACCATGCCTTTGCACGCATACTGTTTCCACAAGGACAGGGGCTTATTTTTTTTTAACTAATTTTTAATTTTTTAATTTTTTGTTCACCGCTACATTTCTAGAGTCTAGAACAGTGCTTGGCATATAGAAGATGTTAAGGAAATATTTATTCCTGAGTGGGGCACAGGTGGTGGAGACCCTGGCCTCTTTATCCCCTTAAGGAGCTCCTTATTCTCCGGATAATACCTTACTAAGGATAAAGGGTTTTGCATATATAATCTCAGTTAATCCACTCTTCAGCCCTAAGAGGGAGGGTTTGTCACCCTGTTTTGCAGAGGAGGAAACTTGACTAGGTTATAGAGCCAGCAGGCAGCAGAGCTGGGATTCGAACCCTAGCTAGTTTGTCCCCGGAGCCTTGGTCTCCTAACAAATAGCTGTTCTTTGGGGTCTGAGCCTCCCTACCCCTGCTTGGGGTAATGGTTAACAAAAATCCTATCAAATAAATGAGATGTGATGCCTCTCTAAGGCTTGGAACTTTCCAGATCATTAATCTCTTAACGTCAGCCAATACAGCATTTTGATTGGGGTTGGGGTTGGGTGGGTGAAAGGAAATCAGTGGGAATTTCTTTTAAGGGAGGAAGGACTCCTTTTTTGGAGACGTCATAGTGGGTTGGGCCACCCCAATTCATTCACTGGAGTCTTCATGGCCATCCTGAGCTGGTCAAGGGCTTCTCCTCTCCATCTCCCTCTGGATCGGCCAGCTCTGTTGCGAAATTGCTTGCAGGCATTGCAAAGTCAGAGAATGAAGGCATCGTGGGATTAATTAAAACAGGAACCCACAGAGCTTTGGGGGGCTGAGTCTAGCGGGTCAGCTCACTGAGGCATGAGACCCTCATTTCCAGGTCCCTCTCATTTCTTATGTCACCTTCCTGCAGTTGTTCCTAATCTTCACCTCTCTCCTGGAGATCTGCTTCTTGTCCCTTCCCTACTCATTTATAGAGACCACAGTATGAGCCCCGCCCCGGGGTCTCCACCCTCACCCCACTCCATTTGACTTCCTATTTGGTTCTAGCAGGGCCTCTCAGCCTTGGCACTGCTGACATTTGGGGTTGGATAATTCCTGCTTGTGGGGGCCGTGCTGTGCACTGTAGGGTGTTGAGCAACATCTCTGGTCTCTACCCACAAGACGCAGGTAGCACCTTGCCTTCGTCCCCAGTTGCGACAACCTCGAATGTTTCCAGACATTGCTAGCTGTCCCCACTGGACAGCCACTGCGCTGGGGGAGCGAACCTTCTCCCTGTCTGAGGCACCCGTCTGAGCTCTTACTGCACCTCAGGAATCGTCACTCACCCATGAGCCTTTGCTTTTCAGCCTAGAAACATTCAGTACCCCGTGAACCCCATTATCCACCACTGACCTCTGGCCTTCTCCTGCCCAGCATCCGTCTCCCCCCACTCTTGCTATCTGACCCTCTACCCACTATCCTGCCCACAGAGTCTGCCTTGTGTCTCCGCCACTGTGCCGATGGCTCTCTTGAAGGTACTCCTCACCTCCGGCAACCTCACCTCAGTTGACTCTTTTGGCTTTGACACTGCCAACTCCCTCCCACTGGAAGACCGAGCCGCCCGCCCCTCGAATTTTCACCTGTGCCTGCCTTCTCCTGTTTTTTCTCCTCTTCCTACTTCTTTCCTCCCTTCCCCAGTCCCGGGCTAAGATGTTGGTCCTCTCGTCCTGGAGGGGCAATCTCTCCTTTGTCCTTCCCCCAGCCAGCTTTTTAATTTATATATAGTCCAACTCCTTCATTTGAATGGGGCTTGGCAAACTCTGGCCCTCGGGTGGGCCAAATGCCACCGCCTGTTTTTTTTTTTTTTTTTTTTGAGACAGAGTCTCTGGGCTAGAGTGCCGTGGCATCAGCCTAGCTCACAGCAACCTCAGACTCCTGGGCTCAAGCAATCCTTCTGCCTCAGCCTCCCGAGTAGCTGGGACTACAGGCATGTGCCACCATGCCCGGCTAATTTTTTCTATATATTTTTAGTTGTCCGATTAATTTCTTTCTATTTTTAGTAGAGACGGGGTCTCGCTCTTGCTCAGGCTGGTTTCGAACTCCTGAGCTCAAACAGTCCGCCCGCCTTGGCCTCCCAGAGAGCTAGGATTACAGGCGTGAGCCACCGTTCCCGGCCCCACCGCCTGTTTTTGTAAATAAAGTTTTATTGGCACGGGGCCACACTCATTTGTTGACTCATCACCATCTGCGGCTGCACAGAAGTGCCCCGACAGCTGATGGGGGAGTTAAGGCAGGAATTGCACGGTCCGAGAGGCCAAGAATATTTACACTTTGGCCCTTTCCAGAGAAAGTTTGCCGACTCCTGATCTGGAACCAACTTCTGGAGGGTTGATTCACGATGGCGTGCCTAATCGCTTGTGTGGTCCCTCATACAAAGGAAATAAATCAATTTAATTGAAATGCCCAGGGAGGCTGTATTTTTCTCTTTATGGCATGAGCCATGCTGAAGAAATTTATACCACTACCATTTGCTGCGCTGAATATGAGGGTTCCAAGGGCGAGAAGATAACAAGTGATGTTCCCTCCTTAGTTGTGTGTACAGCTCAGGATTTATTTATTTAAGCAGCCATGTTGGCATCAAATGAGGCTTCTCTGCCATCAGCCCTGCTTCTAGAACACAAAAGGAAGTCGCACATGATAGGAGATTTTTTTCCTCAAGACCCCTTGTGTTAATTTCTAGTAAGAATACTTCTGGGGGTGGCTTGTTTTATGTTTTCCAATTGGACCGTATTTATGTTTAATCAATTAATTAATTAACTTTTGAGGGAGAATCTCACTCTGTCACCCAGGCTAGAGTGCAGTGGCATCAGCCTAGCTCACTGCAGCCTCCAACTCCTGGGCTCAAGAGATCCTCCTGCCTCAGCCTCCTGAGTAGCTGGGACTACAGGTGTGTGCCACCACGCCCAGCTAATTTTTTCTATTTTTAGTAGAGACGGGGTCTCGCTCTTGCTCAGGCCGGTGTCAAACTCCTGAGCTCAAGTGATCCTCCTGCCTTGGCCTCCCAGAGTGCTGGGATTACAGGCGTGAGCCACCGTGCCCAGCTGTGTTTTTTTAAAAAATTAAAATAACAGCAAATAATGTATTTTCATTACAGAAAAAAAATCACAAAAGCATAGAAAGGAAAAAAACAGAAGTCCCCCTTCAACACTTTGTTCCCCAAAACTATCCAGTTCTTGTTTTGGGTCATGACTATGCCATCGATTCGATATGCATCTTTTTATGGAAAAATTTTTACCTTTTTTTTCCCTTCTATTTATTTATTTATTTTTTTTATTTCAGCATGTTATGGGGGTACAAATGTTCATGTTACATATATTGCCTTTGCCCCACCCGAGTCAGAGCTTTAAGCGTGCCCATCCCCCAGATGGTACGCACCGCACCCATTAGGTGTGGGAAAAATTTTTACTTTTTAAATTACCATATAGGCAGGGTGCGGTGGCTCACACCTGTGATCCCAGCACTTTGGGAGTCCAAGGTGGGAAAATCA